TTATATCATTCTAATATTTGATACCGCAAAGTTTAATTTTCTTTTAAAGCCTCTGATAATTTAAGAATATAGCTATAGTTTAAAAATATATTTTTAGAACATTCCAAAAATTGTAGTGTTAGTTTATCTTTCAAAAGCATTAAGTAAAAAATAAATTTTATTATCAAATGAGTTGACCAAAATTCCACCCCTGTTTTGTTTAAAAAGAAAGTGTTTCTGTTTGTAGGAAGAAAAAAAGAACTAAATCCAATCATTTATAAAATGTTTTACAAATTTTGTAAAAATATCAATTAATTCTCCCGACCTGCCCCATTTCTTAGTATTTCACTCATTAATATTTCATATATGATATATATAATATGCAGTAAAAATTTTATTTTGTGTAATAAAATTTTAATAACTCACTAAGTGTTTGAATAAGTAACACAATAATATTGTTATTTTTAATAGTGATGTTTCTTTTATTTATTTTTTTTCAATTGTAACGTGTATTAATTTTATGAGTGAAATAACCACCTGTCTTTTTCATTTCTAATGTTTTTTTTAGAGAAATAATTTTCACGAATTTAAGACTATAATTCAATTATAACTGATTGTATTTATGACATTGTTTCTTTATTAACTTTATTGGTTGAACTATTAAAAAAAAACTTCATTTTTTAGTCGTTCAATAAATAAGATATTAATGGTAGATGTTTAGTAGGTGGTTTTATAAGCCAAAGAAAAATACACGTCATTTATGAAGCTAGTTGATATGTTACATTAAATCTATAATACCAACTTAAATTTAACTCAATCAGTTAATACATTTATTTTGATTATATGGTCATGAACTCGAATCCTACCTCCACATGTTGTATTAAAATATATATATATATATATATTACACGATAATAATAGTACATAAATATTCATAACCAGTTTATTCTATTATGACTCAAGGTTTCATTCTCTTAAGAATAGACTAATTTTTGATTTATTTATTTATTTTTATTTTAGTACGATAAATGCAGGATATAAAGATTTGAACTTAGTAACTTAAAAATAGGAGTAGATGCACATATTAACATTTTCTTGAGATAGATTATTACTAATCTTTTTGTTTATATGTTTGTCTAATAAATTGAATACTTTGATGTGATCTAAAAAAAAGTCAAACTTTAGAAGTGGTCTATTGTGTTTTTTCCTCTAAATTCAGGTGTATGTCCGTGTAGGATGTATTATTGATAATTTCCTTTATTTTATAGTAAATTAATTTCCATTATTTTGAAATTTAATTAACAAATATATATTTATATATTTGTATATAGTTGAACACCATATGAGGGATGAATTTAAATTCCTAAACTTTTTTTTATCCAAGATATATATCTTATTTAATTGGGTTGAAAAAAAATTCAAACTAACCAATTATATTATCTTCAAGAAAAGAAAAACTAATCAATTATATTAGAGTCCATATTAAATTCTAGTAAATTTAATTGAATATAGCTTATTCAAATATAACTTAGTAAATAAAATACATTTTGAAGTAAAATAAAATTGAATAGAAAGATAACATAATTTATTAATTTGCTAAACAGAACCATAGCTCAAATCGTAATTGGCTTGTACTGCTGTATTACTTCATCTGAGCTTGAAAGTTCAATTTCTGATATTTCCGAATTTTTTGTATTAAAAAAATTAATTAATTTTTAAATAGAGAGAAATTTGGCGGATTCATCCCCCGGTCTAACACGCCACTCGCTTCCACCCAATTTTATTTGTTTTCAGTGATAGCATTTGAATTTCGCCATGATCGAAGAAAGAAATATATATAGGCCAATAAGTCGAATGCTTCTTATAATTCTTGAGGGAAAAGAAGAAAAAAAAAGGATTAACGAAGAGAAGGAGATTGAACAGAGACAGATTTTTCCATTCGAATTTTCATTTGGAAATTTGGGGCCTCAAAAAAATTTGTCATCCAAACGCCATTCATCTTTGTTGTCAGGTTCCCCACCAATTTCTGCAAATAAAAGCCCACGTCTTTCACGTTTTTCTGCGCAATCTCGGATTACAGAATCTCAACCAACAATTTCCACAGCGAAGAAGGCAAAAAAGAGAGCCATTGTTTTCTTTTTAAACTCCTCTGCCGGCTGCCACTCCCTCTCTCAAAACTTGCTTCTCTTCTTTTACATAGAGAGAGAGTCAAGTTTCTGAAAACAACCCTTCATTCAACTGCAGTAATTGACCCCTTCCACCGGCGACATTTGGGCTTGAATCATTCGGGTTCTTCTTTTCTCGCCTGCTCATTGTCGTCGTCAATTGCAGAATCGGGGACCCATTTCAGGAATCGCGCATTTGCTCTGCGATTTGACCCGGTGAGAGATCTGAAGAAGCTCTGTAGGTTTGAAATCGGGTTGATAGCGAGAAATGGGCAGTTTGGGGGCGATTTTGAGACACCCAGATGACTTTTACCCGCTTGTGAAACTGAAAATGGCCGCGAGGCATGCGGAGAAGCAGATCCCACCGGAGCCTCATTGGGGATTCTGCTACACCATGCTGCATAAGGTCTCTCGAAGTTTTGGTCTCGTTATTCAGCAGCTTAAGCCCGAGCTTCGGAATGCTGTAAGTTGGAGATCAAGTGTTCATCATCTTTTTAATTCATAATACTGATGTTTTGATGTTTCTTTAGTTAGATGATTCTGTTTCCTATTCTGGGTTGTTGATGTTGATGTTGAATCCATTTATCAGCTCTGATGATTTTTCTTTTTTTGACAGTTTCGATGATTCGTCGTCTGTTTGCAAGGCTGTTAGAAAGAAAATTATTGATATGCGTACTGTGAATATCTGAACAAATCTGATGCTGTTTACCTTATTTACAATTTATAGCTCAAATAATCACCATCGAAATTCTGTTACGAAGAAAAAAATGAATTTAGGATAGTTGCTAATCATACCTTATGTTCTATGAGTGCTTTGGAACACTTCTGTGGTCTGGAGAATGCAAACCATCAATTATTTCTAACGAAATTAGTTTATGTGTACTCGTAGAATAAGCTATAAAGGTCAATTATGTTGAATCTCATGGTAACATTTAATAGAGTCGTGGTGCTTTGTTTATTTATTTTTATATTTTTTTATAAATTTGCAAACCATAAGAATATTTGTAACACAGAGCTTGAACAATTTTATCCCACTCATATTTGCAAATCTTTTATCATTGTGAAAGCTTTCTAGTTTCGTTTCCTGGCAGCATTCCTTTTCTTCAAAGCTATACTGAGTTTGTCTGTAAAGCATGGATTTAAGTAGTACAAGTAATAGTTATTACTGCTCAATTTCAGTGTTTGTTTGTATAGTAACTCTTATTAAAGTGTATGTATTCGTTTATCCAAATATAACCATATTATAATACTTCCCAGCAATCTCACGTTTTTCATTTATTTGCAGGTATGCATATTTTATCTGGTTCTGCGAGCCCTCGACACTGTTGGTATTTTATGAACCCTTTACTTTGTTATATATGTAAGCTCCTATTGCATGTGTGGTTGGCCTTAAGTTCGAGAAATATAATGGTTTTTGCTCCCTTAGAAACTCATGTTGGTCCTTTTTTATTTTGATGTCAATTAGCCTAATGGTCTTATTATCACCGAAATTGTTCGGTTGGCAGTTCCTTGGGTTTTCTGAAAGATTTCCCCCCTTCCTACTGATAGCAGCGTGCTTTTTTGTTTTCTAACTGATTGAACGTTAATATTTTCTTTACAGAGGATGATACAAGCATACAAACAGATATCAAATTGCCCATTCTGAAAGCTTTTCACTGTCACATATATAACCGTGATTGGCATTTTTCATGTAAGTATCTTACTCGTAATATTGTCTTCTCTTCTTGAAATGAAAACAAATTAGTTAATTGAATTTCATTGCATCTGGGTACATATGTTTTAAATGTTATTTTATTTGGGATGTCTTCTCATCTTGTGCTGAGTTATGTTCTTTTTTGTATGTTTAGGTGGCACAAAGGATTACAAAGTTCTTATGGACCAGTTTCATCATGTTTCGACTGCATTTCTAGAACTTGGAAAAGGGTTGGTTACTGGACCCTACTGATTCCTATCTGATGCTTTCTGACAAAGACCATAATTATTGGCTGTATTGGTTTTTATTTTCACGTCTACTGGATTTGGGATTTTTAAAAATCTGTTGGCTTCTATGTGTTGTGATGGAATTCATTCATTGGATTCTGTGCTTTTTAATAAACTACAAGAAAAACTCTTTAGTAACCTTTTCATTTGGGAATAAATATAAGCTCTCCAATTTTTCAAAATGAACATCATAAAATTTATTTGTATAGAATGTCTATGTTTCTGACTAAAACCGTCTCCAGTGTTTAACTCATTATGCTCAACTGCTTCTGCAGGTATCAGGAGGCCATTGAGGATATTACGAAACGGATGGGTGCAGGAATGGCTAAATTCATTTGTAAAGAGGTACAAAATGAGTTTGTCATCCATGTCTCACAAATTCTGTACTTTCAAGTTTTGACAGGATAGTTTTTTATGTTGACTTTTTTTTGCATTGCATTTATGATTCATCCCGTTTTTTCGCAGTATTAGCCCTATCAGTTGGGCCTGTCTAGAGCCAGTTAGAATTAATGCGCTCTTAAACTAATACCTGTTACTGGATTCAAAGTGTTCATCTTACCCAAAAAGAGAACTGTTTTTTTGCCTTCCTAATAGAGCAATAGATTAATAATGGATGCTAAGGAACATGGTTTAATAATGTAGGAAGAGAATGTTGAAACACTTCTCCTCTTCTTGCAGGTAGAGACAGTTGATGATTATGATGAATATTGCCACTACGTAGCCGGACTTGTTGGACTAGGTTTGTCTAAGCTGTTCCATGCTTCGAAATTAGAGGATTTGGCATCTGATTCTCTTTCAAATTCTATGGGATTGTTTCTTCAGGTCAGCTATTATAATTGAAGTGGCCAATGTGTCCAGTGATTTACTGACTTGTGTTGAAGTTTGACTCTAACACATTCTTTCTCAAACTATTACAACACAGAAAACAAACATTATTCGAGATTACTTGGAGGACATCAACGAGATACCGAAGTGTCGGATGTTTTGGCCTCGTGAGATATGGAGCAAATATGCTGATAAACTAGAGGTGCATAAATCTATATGCCTTTTGCCATTTGGTTTCTAATTCCTCTGTTGCTTCTTGGTCTGATTGGCTTATTTCACCATTTTTTGCATTATAGGATCTTAAATATGAGAAGAATTCAGACAAGGCCGTGCAATGCCTCAATGATTTGGTCACCAATGCTTTGACTCATGCAGAGGATTGTTTGACATATATGTCTAACTTAAGAGATCTTTCGATATTTCGATTTTGCGCAATACCTCAGGTACAAAGTTGCTCGGCTTTTCATGTAGGATAAATTGTAAGGTAGAATTTCCCCTTTGCATGTATGCATTTCTGCTCATCAAGCTTGCAGATTTATACGAATCTGTTGACGTGTTTCGATCTTCTAATTCCGGCCAATTACGTTATACAAAGGTTTAATAAAAGAAAGTAGATGCCCCTGTTTCTGTTTAACTTTGGTTTTAGTATATTCCTCCGTTTACCTTGTTCTTCTAATAACTTCTGAAACTAGAATCAATATAACTAAGCATGCTTGTACGAAAGTAATGTTTTTTATTCTATTAAAAATTTTATTTACCAGAGGAGGCTTCTAGCATTTTTTAATCATTTAAGGTCATTAATATGTGCATATTTCCTACTTGACATTGAACTAATTTTTTTTTAATAAGAAACACGATGCATTCTTGACATTGAACTAATGGTCCTTTATGGCACAATTAAGTACAAAATCTAAGTCAAAATATTCTTGGAGACATATATGATGTATTGATTTTGATAGAATTGAAAGCTGTTGTACATCCCTATTATGCCAATAACGGTATTTCGGCATTGTTATAGAGGCAATTATCTAGTTTGGAATGTGCTTTTGCTAGATTATGGCGATTGGAACTCTCGCATTGTGCTACAACAATGTCGAAGTCTTCAGGGGGGTAGTCAAAATGCGGCGGGGTAAGGTTCCCATCTATAATATTCTGTAAAAAGAAACATCCTAAATCTTTCTTGAGTAGCTGCAATGAGCAGAGACAAGCCTGAGTTTCCCCGGCCTAGTTTGAGTTTTCGTGTCGACTTTTTTGCTTCAGGTCTTACCGCTAAGGTCATCGATCGAACAAAAACGATTGCTGATGTGTATGGAGCTTTCTTTGATTTTTCTGTTATGCTGAAGGCTAAGGTAGAATCTTCCTCGAGCTTATCACAGCATCATCTGAAGTTCCTTTGTAAAACTAACTTCTTTGGGTGCTACAGGTCAACAGCAGTGATCCTAATGCATCTAAAACCCTGAGCAGGATCGAAGCGATTCAGAAAACATGCAAGCAGTCAGGACTCTTGAACAAGAGGTTCGTATTTGCCGCCCTCCGTCTCTCTCTTTCCTATCTTGCGACTTCAAAATTCATTGTATGCTCTCTCTGAAAATCTATCATCTGTGTTATTGTTCACCAGGAAACTGTATATAGCAAGAAGTGAGCCAATGTACAACCCAACTCTGGTGAGTTTCTATCACTTAAATCACGTTGACATGATATCGCTGTAACGTAAGAAAATCTATTGATGTTTCTGTTGTTTCGATCCAGATTGTCATACTTTTCAGCCTATTATGCATCATTCTCGCTTATATCTCTGCGAAACGGTTACCAGCTAACCAACCCATATGAGCTTCAAACTCCGGTAAGCACCTTAAAAGTAGGGTCACCCTGGTTACAAGAACATATCTGGTCGGTTATGTTCTGAAGCTCGGTTTCTTTGGATGCAGGATATGAGTTTCATCAGGACACGTAAACTTCACGATATGATTAAGCGTCTAAGCGCCGTTAATCTTCCTCGTACCTTTGTTTAAACATTACAATGGCTGTAAGTTACTGTTTGTTTAGAGAGACCAGGAAACAAGTGAGATCCTGTAGCCTTCTAATGGATGTAGTGTAATGGTAGACGTGGAAATAAGCTGTTTCTTCTCCTTATTTTTCTATCTTCAAATAAGGGATTGAGTCTTGGAATTGGAATTAAATATCTCTTTATAGCATATAGTTACAGTGAACGAATGAGATGCACTCACTAATAATGTAATGTTCTCTGTTTAATTACTGTCTTAATGTAATGGTGATTGTTTATTTACTGTAAGAGAATTTGTTTTTAATTTGATTTTATGGATCATCTAATTTAGTGCTGCGTAATTACAACTTTTACATGCCACTTAAAAAAGCTACTTTTTTGCCTTTTACCATACTTGTTTATCAGTTGGGTTGACAGATTTAAGAAATTAATTAGACAATATTGTCAATAAAAAGATTAATTCAGGAACTAAAAATCTAATTTTTCAATAAAAAGATTGTCAAACTTACTTCAATTCCATACCTGTTCATTCCTTTTTGATCTATCTATCAAGATCATCTCATCACTTCATTCTTAATTTAAATAGACATAATACTAAGAAGAAAAACATGTTTTCTAAAAAAAATAAATAAATAACATCATATTTTCATATGCATGAAACATGCATCACAAATCTTTATTTTCGCACGGTCACGTTCTCGTTCTTGTTTATTCTTAGTTTCAGTTTCGTTCTGGTTTATTCTTAGTTTCAATTTCTTTCTCATTTTCAGAAAGGTTTTCACATGATTTTAACATTCTTGACTTGAAAAATACATCATAGATATTAAAAATTTAATATAAGATAAATAGATTAATATATAATTTGAAATTCATTTTTTATATAAAAAAACTCTTTTTTAATTTAAAATTTTGGAGAACAAGAGACCAGAAACAATTACCACATATTTCTATTTACTTTTTTCAATAAACAAACCAAGAAACAATTACTAGATATAATTTTGTTTACAGTTTTTTAAAATAGAGAACAAGAAATAGGAACTTCACCAAACATATCCAAAATGTCTGACAAAAAAATAAAAATAAAAGAAACCAGAAACGAAACTATAATGTAACAAAATATGGATCCTCACGAAAAGCGATTAACGAAGACGTTGGCCTTCTCTGCATGAACTAACAAAAACTCAATTTCTCTTTCACAAATCATTAAATATTTAAATCTACAAAATAAAGGCTAAATTTGAAAATCTGATCTGTAGTAAAAAGAGAGCCTGGAGAAACAAAAATAAAATACAATCGCGTAAAAAGAGAGCCTGTCCAGAAATGGGGAAAAATAAAGAAAAGAAGTTCAGAAACCAGCCCACAAAGATCAACAGCAGAAATGTTGGGTATCTATATTACAAAATCTCAAAACTTGGTAGAATGATCATTCTATCAGCAAGAACACACCATGAATCGTCATCCGGGTGGTACATCTAATCAAATGAGAAAAGAAAAAAGAAAAAAAATACACATACAATATCCCCAGCCTATTAAATTGAACCAAAAGGATTAATCAAAACACCTCAGCAACCTTACTTGCAAGCACGCGTTCTCTTCTTTCTATATATCCAAATGGGAACCAACCTGCTTTACCTTTGCACTCGCCCTCGGCCCAACCGTTGTTTGAAACCTGTTGAAATAACCATATGATCAATAAACCAAATCGCTTGTTCTGAATCCAAACAGAGGACTTGAAAGCCTCAGCATCCAGTATCCAACCATATTATTTGAATGTTGTTAAAGATTCAAGTGTAAATGGATTCAGTTTAAATAAGCATGTAACCTTTCTAACGACGACATAGTCACCAATGCATAAATTGAGCTCGACATCTGACTCGGCTTCATAGGGATGCATTACCTACAACAGAGAAGGAGAAAACAAAGACAAATCATGTCGTCAGTAGATTCAAATTCACATGATGTGGGAATTTCCAGGAAAAAGAAACATGTAGAATTGGCAATTAACCTCCCCCAAAAAGTAACCCAAGGAATCTGTTGAGCCATTATGTGCATGAGAAGCATATACACCGTTGACGTCTTCGTATGATGGAGGAGGTGGCATGGTATTCTCAACACTTGGACCAGGAGGGGGAGGTGGAGGAGCTTCAATTCTCTGCCGCTCCATTATCATCTAACAACAAAAGAATATCATATGCTTAATTCGTAAACATCAAGTGAAAAGCTGCAGATGCAATTCAAATTAAATTGACGCATTCGGGTAAGGCATAAAAGAAGAAAACTGGCACATGGTTGCTACCTCGCCTTCAAGCTGATCAAGTATCTGAAGGACTCTTTGATGATAAGCACGTTCGGCCTCAACCTTCATAATCCAGGATAAAATGACATCATAAATTTCAACATTCGAGTCCCAAAATATATCCAAATAAAACCAAAGAACCACCATAATCTGGACAAAATTCTACATACCATGGCAATGAGTCGCTGGAGAGTTAACCTCTGTTGTTGAGCTTCAACAGCAGCCATGGCTGCTGCAGCTTCCTTTCCCATGGTTGCCATATTGGACTTTAGATCATGCAATTTTACTTCGGCAGCTTCCAATTTTATAGTAATCTCAGCATTTCCTGGTGTTTCCCTAACTCTTGCCTGGCGCTTGAAAACTTCAATAGCCTGTCTAGGTAGAACATAAGGTGCTACTTAATTAAATCTTGAATATTTTTTGTGTAGGAAAATATCTAGAATATAAAAACACCGATTTCCATAAGATCATAGATTACACTCTAATTTTAAATTGGAATCTTATCAAAATACATCACATCCTGAGAAAATTAAAAAAAAATGGAAAAACAGAAATTGGAATAGATGAATAAGAGCATATTTACATATCAAAGAATAGGAAGAGGAACAAGGAGAAAAGAGCATTTTCCCCCTTCCCTTTGTGGTAATTCACTTTAAGTCAAGAATCATTTCCAACTAGTGAATCCCAGCCCTCAGGACTCCATAAAAAGATAGAAAATTGTTGTTCTCATTTTCTTATTAATGTAGATCAACCAGGTTTAACCGTAAGATTGTCCTTTCTCTGTAACTTTATTGTGGATCCCATACCAATATATATTTGAGTTTCGTACTGGTCAATGTAGACAACATCACTAGTAATCATTCTCATTTTCATTTCGTTTCCAAACTAATATTTAGTAAACACCATATTAAAATTACTGATCCATTTTTCACCTATCTCATTCCGGTTGACCTTTTTCCCTTTGATTTGCCCAGACCTATTCCTATTTCACTCCATTGAGAGGAACAAGCACATTATATCGTTTAAATTAATTTGTGAAATGGAAGATATTAAAGTATTGATGTATAACCTGAGCTTCAGCTTCTTGTCGCATTCTGTCATAACGTTGAGCAAGATGTCGAGCATCCTCCAAAGGGGCACCCATAACCATAGCTCTCAATGGCTCTGCAACCTGTTAATTGGAATATGCAAGAACACATAAATCACTGTCCTTGTTGGTATGCTGAAATGAATTAAGTGTCCCTACTCCTAGGGTTATAACTCAGGATGGGAGAGTTCCTTATATTTGGGTTCAGAATCATCATGTTCATTATTTCAACTCAAGATGGGCAGAGTCCTTAATCGCCTAAATTCCCTGACAAAGAGTCCAAACCAAGATATACAAATTCCTAAACTGAATGATTATGCATATGAATTCAGGGCCCATGTACTATTCAAAAAATACTGAATAATGGATTTTAAAAAAAATGATGAGAAATGGGAAAATTGAATCCAAGAGAATTAAGCTAACCATCACTCAAATGATAAAGCAGATGCTTAAGTAACACCATTAAAGCTTTCCATCCATGTAATCTCATCTTGCACAAGAATCCTAATCTAACCTGAGTGCCAAGAGCTTTCAACATGTTTCCACGCTCTTTCTCCATTTGAGCTCGGGCTCGTCCATAACTTAATGCTGCTTTTGATAATGTGTTGCCACTAGTACATGTATTTTCAGCACCATATTTCCTACTATCCTCCGACAACTTTGTTCCTATTGAATAAGATGAGCACAAATAGAACGATGACAATTAAGTTCTAAATCTCAGTTGAATTGCATAACTTCGAGAGTTCTCAAAGATAAAATAAGCTTACCTATTTCAACTTGTTTTGAACCAGTAACAATATAGCCTTCTACTCCTCGTACAATATCCCTTTGAAAATGCTAAAATGAAAATGAACTTTGCATAAATAAAGAGACAATTCTTTGGAAAAATTAAAGGAACTAAGCCATAGGATGAGTAGCAACCTTTCCAGCACGAGTTGATATATACAACTTTTCAAGTTTTTGATGCTGGTGAAGTTCTGCCTCATCAGTTATAATGTTATCTGAACCTCCATATCCTCCAGCACCAAACTGCTTGAGGACAGCCTACAAAACAAAGTATGGTCACACAATATGGTGACCTCTTCCTACAATATCAAGGATACAGAAAAAGAAGAGGAAAATAGCCTCGGAAGCAATGAATGAATAGAGATATGAGGCCAGGAAACAGATCAGAAACACATTCCTTCAACTTTTTGTCCATTTTAACTTTCTTTTAAAGAGCATAAAGTAACAGTTATCTTTCAAATCAATCCGTCGTACGAACTGTTACACAAAACTAGCGGTTGCTAGCAGAAATCGGTTGATCATGAGGAATAATACTCCACATACTCACATCTATCCACAAATTAAAAGATAACCGAAGATTTCGCTACCTGGAATCGAAACAAAAAAAAAGTCGACAGATCCATAAATTCGTAAAAATTCTTCAATCCGCAAACAAGTTAGCATCCGAATCAAAGCTACAACTACTAGCAGTTACATTGCAGAATATTCCGACAAAACAACAAGAAGCTGAGACATGCAAGAGGAAGTCAAAAAATGAAAAACAATAAACGAAGGATCGAGAAGGAAGTCGGAGATGGCAGGGGGAAGAAAACAGATAAACGGATCGGAAAGAGTTAGGGCTGGATTGGAAACCTGCTGCTGGCGGGCGACCTGTTCCCGGAGCTTGGTGGCTTGCTTGCGTATGGCCTCCATTCGACGGGTCGAATCTGGCCGGCCGGAATCAGAGCTGACCAGGGAAACGAGGGGGCGGAAAACGAAGGAGAGAGACGGAGAAAGGCTTTTTCGGAGGCTTGGTTTCAAAATTGGGAAGGCGAGAGCAGTTGTGAAGCTTTCACAGCCTTCGTACTCACATTTGTCTGTTAATTTTGGTAAAAGACAACATTAAAATTTTAAATCCTG